TGCTGCGGAGGGAAGTCCCACGGAGCGGCTGCTCGCGAGGGGCAGGACTCGGTCGGCTTTGCAGGCTCTTCGCCGTCAGTTTGTGTGTTTGCACTCATGAACATGATTATGGGGGAAATTCAAAATCCTCCGCAAACCGTTGGACGTCCAGATCCGTTAGGGGGTTTCTTGCAGTTGCTATTCATATTAACGCATGCTCTCCCGGTAAATAGATAACGTCTGTGAGTTTTTTGCTCTTTAGGCATCACGTTGCAGATGCAAGATAAAGTTGCGGGCTACCATAAAAATAATATAACTCAATTTGCATAAGTCGAATAGCCAAGTTTATTTGATACAGATCCATCAAAATATTGCACAAGACACTTAATAAAAAGTGACCCTATTTGGGGAGGGGGAATTAGGTTGATGGCAGGCAGGCGTTAGTGGCCCCAAATTTGAGGAAGGACTCTTCCCTACGACATGCAAATGTAGGGACTGAGTTCTTCATTTTTTGAGCCCCAGGCACCTCTGGCCTACCCTTGTGCTAGCCAGGGACTTTACCCTAGAGGTGCCAGCCTCTATGAGAGGAATGTAATAATTAGGAAATAGTAATACTTAACAATAATCACGTCACAGAGGACTCATTCTTTTTGTTTCTGCTACCTTGGAAAATCTCTCCAATTTCAAGTCAATGTCTCTTCCCTTCCTTCAAGGTATTGGTGAGTTTTTGTTTTTTGGCTAGAGGGCAGGTAAGTTTGCCAAAGAGAGGGAGAGGAGAAATGAAGCAGCAGTCCTTTTTCGTCCCTCCTTTTGGGATTTTTGGACACGTGTTCTCAAGGTTCCAGTCTGAAATGATGCCTTTGGCCAAGTGGAATTCTGCTGCCTTGACCGATTTTGTTAAAAATTCAACTCTGATCAGAGTAGTTACTTTTTTTTTTTTTTTTTTTTGAGAGGTTCTTGCTATAGGGCCGGTTGCTGGCCAGAAAGACAGAGAGAGACATAGAGACAGAAAGCGAGAAATCACCCCCCGGGGGGATGGTCATGCCACAATCCCTTCTCCTCCATTCTCCTCTCGGGATCTTGGGCACGCACGCACACACACCCAGCGTGAGTTTAAGCAACCGGTCCCAGACTTGAACCATGGTCAACTATATAGGAGTCCAGCAACATTGCCATTGCTCCATCTGCTGGTCCCCAGAGTAGTTACTCTTAAATATTAAATCTCAGTCACCATTTTGGGACATTGAAGGCACTATAAAGTCCAAACCTTTTTGCTTTTGTAACTTCTTCACATTTCATAGCTGTCATTTGAGGAAACCTTTTGAAGAGATGTTCAAGATACAACTCAATTTAAAAATGAGAATAAGACACGAGTTTTCAGAGGTGTGATGATCTCAAAGTTAGATGATTTGGGCAGAGGTTTTTGGCTTTTTTTTTTAAATTAGCAACTTTTTTGGTTTTACTTGGTCTCTGGGAATCTAAAGATATTGATCGGCTAAGCTCTGTGTTGTATATTTAAAAAGTATATAGGCACCAAATAGGAAGCCTATTTTTCCCCAAATGATTCACATACATTTCCAAAAAAGGCTAGTTACATAAAATGATAATCTGTAAATCTTGGGGTTTGTATGTATAAAATTAAGAATATCTTCGGTTTCTTAATGTATGTTTTTCCTCATCTCTAACTTTGTTCGTTCTTTAACACATCTAGAACACCTTTTTTTTTTTTTTTTTGATTGAAAGAGGGAGATGGTAGCATGTCTTAAATTTGTTTTGGGGCAAATTGGGATAGGAGTCTATTGTGCAGGTAGAGAAGGCAGCAGTGAAAATATGAAAAGAGTTAACATTGACTAAGAGTATATATAGGAGAAAAGCAAGTTCTTAAATATTTTATTCCATTCTTTTTTTTTTTTTTTGAGAAGTTTTTGCTATAGGGCGTGTGCGCTCGCCAGAAAGACAGAGAGAGACATAGAGACAGAAAGTGTGAAATCACCCCCCCAGGGAGGACGGTCATACCGCAATCCCTTCACCTCCATTCTCTTCTTGGGATCTTGGGCACGCACGCACGTGCGCCCGGCGTGAGTTTAAGCCACCGGGTTCGGGACGCGAACCGTGGTCGACTACGTGGGAGTCCAGCGACATAGCCATTACGCTAACTGCTGGTTCCCTACATTCTTCAAGTACATTGGAGTTCTTTAGGCTGCTTTCCGTCCACTTTCTCATTCATCTTTTTTTAGAGATTTGCTACAGGGTGCATGTCCTCTTGGTAGACAGAGAAAGTGAGAAATCCCCCCCAGGGGGAGAGCCATGCTGCAATCCCTTCTCTTCTATTCTCCTCTTGGGATTTTGGGCACACATGTACATGTGCCCAGTGCGAGTTTCAAGCTGCCGGGTCCAGGATCCAAACCGAGGTTGGCCATGTGAAAGTCCAGCATCCCAACCACTACACCACCTACTGGCCCCTCACTCATCTTTCAAAGAATAGATCTCAGATAAGAGCCTGCTTGATTTTCAAGCTAATCCTTTTTCTTTCCTATCACATTGTTAAACTAGTGTCTGATCCAGAAGAACTGGAAAGAGAGTGATTAGACTCTGGGGGAGAATTTGTATTCCAAGGGCCTAGACTGCTTAGCTTCCATGACACAGTCGTTTTTAAGTTTTCTTTTTTCTAACTGTAGTAGTTGCTTAACAAGGAATTATAATTTATTTTTTAAAGAATTATTTAAGTTTATTCATTATTGTTATTATTACAATTTGATCAGAAAGAGAAAGTAAGTGAGAAAGCAAGCTGTCAGGTCCAGGACTTGAACTGTGGTAGGCCATGTGGGAGTCCAGTGCCTTAACCACTATGCCACCTGAGAACTGTAATTTAAGTGAAGTGTTTCAGACACTGAAAGGTGACCAGTCTTCTAGTGTTAATACTACTAAGTGACATTGTATGTTACTCTCTTTTTTAGATCATTTGCATACCTTACAATTAAAGACAGAATACCACAGATCTTAACTAAAGCTATTGATACATTGCATCGACATAAAAGTGAATTTTTTGAGAAACATGGAGAGGTAAGAATTTTTATTTTTTAAAAATATTTTATTGCCAGAAGTTGCATGTGCTTGCCAAAGAAGGGGAAAAAGCATCCCCCAGTGGGGCATGGTCACATTGCAGCCCTTTTTCCTCTGGTTTCTCCATCCCGTCAGGGTTTTCGCTATGCTGCAGTGTTTGCACCACGGTAAGCCATGGGATCTGGCTCCCCCTATACAGCTTACTGCTTTATAACATTAATCTTTTGTTAAATCTTCAACAGAAACACTGTAAGTCTAGTTATTAAAGGTATCAATTTTTCTGTAAGAATGAGTGTATGGGCCACGTATTTATCTATCTTATTGTGATACATTGACATGAAGTATAATAATGACGTAGCCATGAGAGAACAGCCAGTCTCTAATTTGAAAAGAATTGCGTCCCAGCAGTTTATTCTGTTAGTTATGTAGACAGAATTCTTTTTCCTTTTTAAAAAAGTTTTACCAGAGGGCCCATGTGGTACAAGATGAGCAGAGAGAAAGAGAGGGAGGGACAGTGAGGAACACCGCTCATCGGCTGTGGTCATCCTGCAGTCCTTTCTTCATCTCCCTGTCCTATTGGGATGCGGGGTGTGTACGCACACGTACCTGGCAGGTCTTTCAAGACACCGATTCTGGGCCTTGGAGCTACAGAGATGGCCATGTGGGATCTAGCTGCCTTAACTACTGGGACATGGGCTGGCCTTCTATTTTCTTACATGTACAGTGTTACACATGTACAGTGTGTACATGTACATAGTGTGACTTGATCAGAACAGCTTTCTTCATTTTAAATTTTGCCAAATTGCCATGTTTATAGTAGTGCTTAAAATCTTAAGTCCCAGAAGCTCGGGTCACTATGTAAAACTCAAAATGAAGAGTGGTAAGACTTAGGACGGATGGAAATTATGCTAATTAGAGATACAGAAGACTCACTAGTACTTAGAGCAGGATAGGACCTTTGAATCACCTTGTCCCATTCAATTAGTAGATGAGAAAAAACCCTAAATAACTATGTTATAGATACAGGTCTTTAAATTTGCATATCTGGTTAGCTTTCTGTTGTACTATAGACCAAGTGTTCCCTAGCCCCCATGCTGTGGACTGGTGTTGGTTTGTGCCCCGTTGGAAGCCTGTAGCATTGCTCCCCAAAACCTCTTACCTCCCATCCATGCACAGAGGTGGACGGAGGGTGATGGAGTGAGGCTTCGTCTGTTTGCAGCCACTCTCCATCACTTGCATTGCTGCCTGGGCTCTGCCTCTTGTCGGATCAGGGGCTGTGTTGGCTTCTCATGGGAGCATGATGCTATCGTGTGATTGTTTCATTGTACATTGCCACATGGTAGAGGTGGAAATGGGTGCACGGTAGATGTGGGGCTCTTGAGTCTTCCTGGGACCAACGTCCAGCCCCGTAGGTAGAAGGATTAATTTCCACCAGTCCCTGTGCCAGGAAGGCTGGGCACCACTGCTCCAGATTGCGAAGACAATGCATGCCCTGGTACTGTTTTTTTTTTTTTTTTCTTTTTTTTGGTGCTTGAGGTTGTGTGTGCTCACCAGAGACAGAGAGGGAGAGGAGGAAGCACTCCCCGTGGGACATGGTCACACCTCATTCTTTTGGGATTTGGGGCACACATCCACATGAGCTAAGTGTGTTAAGTAAGCCACCGTGTCCAGGATTCAAACTGTGCAATCCACCCTGTGGGATCCACCTGCCTTAACCACCAGACCACAGAGCCAGCCTCACCTGTACTTTTTTTTTTTTAAAGAGGCTTTTGCCTTAGGGCATGTGCTTGCCAGAGAGAAAGACAGTGAGGGGGAAAATGAGAAATCACCTCTTAGCAGGGATGGCCACACCACAGTCCCTTCTCCATTTTCCTCCCAGGATCTTGGACATGCACACACACACGTGGCTGGCATGAGTTTTAAGCCACCGGATCTGACAACAGTACATTTATTTTTTTATTTTTTTATTATTTTTTTTATTTATATTATCATCATAATCTTCTTTATATTACATTGGGTTACATATAACTTTACATTGACT